ACTATCCTCAGTCCTGTGAGACTAAGAGGGAGCCACAGGCCTGCCCCGCCACCCCTCCGCCACACACACAGTGCCAACCAGGCATCAGTGTTAAAAACAGGGGCTTTGGAGTTTGGCTAGCTTCTCCACTTACTAGCTGTATGACCTTGGGCAACTTGTGGCCTCCCTTCTAAAAGTGGAATTATTGTGAATTAGGTAATGAACACACAAGAGTTTACATGGTCCTTCTAGCCAAATCCTCCAACCTGGTGGCCAAGAGCCCAGGATAGTCCATTTTAGGTACATCTGGGATAATGGTCTGCTTCCAGATTTTGCTACAGACAGTTGACAAAAATGACTCTGAAGGAGCCTCAATGCTCCCAGGTTTCCCAGGCTCTCTGGTCTGTGGGGAGAAGCTATTCCTAGTCCAGGTAAAATCAAGGCAGGGCCCAGGAACTTAGCACGTCTCCTTACCCCACTGGCCCAAAATTCCCAGGGCTAAGCAGAAAGAAAACAGGACATGATTGGGGTTTCACTCAAGAATGTCTTTATTGAAGAATTGGTAAGAAAAAAGGATGGACCCTCTGTAAAAAGAGGAGATGTTGCCTCCAAACAGCAGGGAGGAATGAGAGACCTGGATGGCTTCCCAGAAGTCAGTGTTTCTGGCATGACTGGCTCCCCTTTCCTGGCAAGCACTAGAGTGTGTCACACTACAGCTAGCGATTCCTACCCACCCCTCCCAGCTTCTCCTCCCCATCCCATGAACCCTGGATTCCCTACAGCCATTTGCCAATGGCTTTCTGAAGACGCAGGGATAGATGTGCTAGGCTTGCCTCTTAATGGGGTCAAAGTGAATTTTGCTTTGGAAAATTCAAACAGAAATGTAAAATGCTTTGAGCTCTTTCTAGTCCAACCAAAGATGATTACATCCAGCCCCTCTGAAGGGAAAGGGAGCAAAGAATTTCCCTCCTGAATGTGCACACTTGTAGGGTAAGTGGACTATATCACAGTCTGCTCTTTATTAGCACAGAGACTGGAAACAAGGTTAGAAGAATATATAACATCCGTGTTAAAGAGTCACTGAATTCCAGAGGGCAAAGGAGCAACGAAGCTTTCCAAGTGCTCCTGCTCGCTACCCTGAATTCCTGGGGATGGTCATTCCTCTCCAGCTGGGAGGTTGTCCTCAATCCGCCTGATGAACCTCATCCGGATTTCTGTCACACCATCTCCTTTCAGGGTGTCCTGGACAAACTTGGCCTCCACAGCCATCTGGACCTGGGGGACAGTGGGAACATGAAGGGGCAGATGCCTACCCATAGCCCCTGGGAAACCACTGGGGATGGAGCTGTAGCTGACTCATCCACAGCATCCTAAACAAGGGGGCTGGCTCCCCACAAGGACAAGATTGCCAGTTCCAATGTCCCTGTGCAGAGGGCACTGGCCCCAACCCAACAGGAGAGACTTAGCGAAGAGCACTCACAGATATAACTGCCACCCAATGAGCCAATCTGGGAACAGATGTTCCTGGCCTTTGGGGGCTGACAGCACCACCTCCCAGCCTAGTGGGAAGGATCATTACCATGTAGGGCTATCCAACTTGAATCCTGTAAGTGGCAGTGTCATCATCTCAGGCAGAAAACCACTGGGGTGAGCTAAAGGCCCTTCTTCTCACCTTCTCATTCATTCATTCAAACATTTATTAAGCCTCTACCACATTGCAGGTGTCTCAGAAAGTAAAGAGCTGCACTCACCATCTCCAAGGCTCCCCGCAAGACCCCACACAAGAGATTGGAATAAATAAGGGATGAGTGGTTATCAGGAAGTTCCACAAAGTCCACCAAGGGATTATTTTCCAAAATGAGGGAGAATTCGTCACCAGCTGGGCTCCAATTGGTGATGCTTGGAGTGATGCCCAAGTACATCTTGAAGGCCACCTGTCAAGAGACACACAATGGCACCACAGGGAAAAGCAGTACAATAGGGAAGGTGACGGAACTGGCAAGGGGAATTAAGTGACTCGGGGAAAAACTGTGGTCTCTGCAAGACATTGAACATTTAGGTATTCAGGGCAAAAAGGGAAAAGCATCTGTGCACAATTCCGCACCCTTCTACTTCAAGGCATCATACAATTAGGCAACAACTTGCTGACTACCTGCATTCTTAGTGGAAGGAAGCACTGATCTTCTAATGGAGGTAACTGCCCTGAACCAGCATCTAAGCCCAGAGAGGTCCCAATCCACTTCCCTGTCCACTCTCTCTGCTATCTGAACCCTTCTAACTGACACCACAAAGATATAGGTGTGTTATCATTTATTATTAATCCTACAATATGTAACACTAACATTAATAGCAAACACTTACTATACATACATGGTGATAAGTGCATTCATTTTACCTGAATGCTCTTGTTCATTATTTCACTTACTCCTTAACAATAACCCTATGAGGTAGGGTTTTCTTCATTTTAAAGGTGAGGTAACTGGTAATTAAAGGGGTTAAAAATAACTTACCTAAGAACTAGTAAGTACTGGAGCCAGAACTTGAAGCCAGGCTTGTCTATATTCTTAACCCCAGGCTACGCTGCTACCTCTGCACAGCTGAAGAGACCTGGCTTTGATTTCAGTGGGGCTTAATCCACAGGGATGATCCCAACCATTCTTTCCTTTTTCACAGTCTGTGCTATTTCCAAAACACCAGGAAGGCTTCTGTGGCCCAAACTACTGCCTAGCTAGTCCTCTGGAAACTAAGGGCCTCTCTAAGGGACACGGAGAGAGTGGTAAGCAGTGCCTCCC